AAAGCCTAATATCTCTTTGAGTCCATCTGGGAGCTCACCTAGTCAGCTTACGCGAAGAGATTTATGTCAATGAATGTGAAATTGTTAATGGTCATTGAAAGCTTCCACGTTCCCATTGAGCACCATTTCTACTTGATGGAGAGGTTCAGAAAATTGGCATCTGCAGGCAGTCGCTCTCCAAAAGGGCGCCTCATGTGGTGCATATTTACAAGGTCCGGATTCCCGCCTCTCAACCGTTTGGGTTAGATTCAACTGCTAAGAAGCACCAGAAAAGCTGATCATACACATTGCAAGTTCTGAGCTGCGTCTGGCATTCGAGAGCCTAGAGTGAGCGCAAAAAGTTGGTGGCAGTAACACTTATTCGTACCACTTCGGCGCTCCGTTTTCAACAAATAAAAATTGACAAAAATAAAGAAAGCACTCCAAACTAGAACTTTGAGCAGAAAATCTTGTAGAGCAGAAAACCAAAAAAAAGAAAGTATCGTATCAAAATATTTATTCAGTGAAAATAGATCGAACACTTCAGAGAAAATTCCCACTTTTCACAAAAATTTAATGTAGGCAAAAAACGCCATTACTTATGGGCCAACCTGATATTTTCAATTTGAACACCATATTCGATTTGGAATTGTACAGAGTGATCAAAAACTTTAATTAGCTTCATACGCGTACATTCAGGCCTAGAAATCATGAGTACTCACAATAATTTAGGAATTTCACAATAATTTAGGAGTTGTGGATGTGCAACTGGTGTACGCTCCGGCAGTCTCTGTCGGAGTCACCGAGCAGAAGCCGATTCTCGGATTTGCCAGCGTCATCGTGATGTGCTTTACATCAGCTTTCGCCGGTATGTCATTGTGCCATTTTGCTCGCATGTGCTTATATGTAGTTTGTAACAATGCTACCAGAGGGGGTGGTGTGAGGAGGGCGGGATGAGCCCGCCTACGGCTGACTTGCTCTACCAATGTGATCGGCTAGAGAAAGATATTTGAAGAAAACAATCAATGGTGGAAAGGTCGCAGGCAGGGACCGCTGATTGTAACCCGACTGGTTGCGGTGATGTCAACTGTATCTCGTTGAGCATGGAGGGCATTGAGTTTTTTGATCATTCTTGGCACAACCTCAACTGTGAACCTTATTGCGAGAGTATGGCTGCACAGAATCGCTTCCCGATCTGTACAGCAACGACATACACACGCAAACGGAAGGGTTGGGGACGGGGAACATCGTACCTATCATGTAGTGTTCGACTTGACGATGACGCGCCACGACGGACTGAAACGCGTGTCGACGCGCTTCAATTGGAGCCGGCCGCTAGTGCTTTGCGAGAGCATAGAATAATAGGAGGGTGGGCGCTGCCTAGTCACACGGTGTGATACAAGCCGTCCACTGCTGCGCTCTCGAATAAGCATTGATGCAGTACTACAATGGCAGCGCGTCGTAGCGCGTTACAGCGCGTCGACGCGAGGTCTTATGCTCATTCTTGGGTATCTTTTGTGCAAGAATGCGGAGACACCTGCAACAATATCGGTCTAGGTGTGTACCTGGAAAAAATGCTGAAAGAAAGCACTACATCTGTATGGATGCAGAACATTCGTCTAGCGCTCATTGGAATCCCGATATCAGTCATGTCGATGTGGATCTATGAAGGAAAACAAATTTACGAAGGTAACCTTTCCATCATTGATGCTGTCGTAAACGTTTTCTTCCATAAGAAAGCAGCTGCAAATCGCTTAGAAAGAACAATGGCGTACGTTCCTAGCCTGTCATGGTTATAGGCTGATGCCGCTCCAACGTTAGATGCAGACCCCAGTTATTATATGAATTAGACGCCGGTGCATGTATGAATTACTCGTTAAATAAGCTTCAGAGCACCGTAGCTCAAAGTGCAATTGAGGTCAATTTAACTCCCTTTTCAAGGCAGCTGGCACGATAATTTGGTACTCGGCCTAAAATGGCAGCAGGTATAGTGGGAAAATGGCGAAAAAACGAAGTGAAACGGTCAAAAACCTGCGAAGAAAAGCCTCCTTTCTCATTGACTCAAAAGCAATTTTGGACGAGTTTCCCGTAGGCATCTTGCCAATAACCGCTACGGTAGGTACGGCTGCACGTATGTACTCATATATCCATGCAGCACCGCGGCCGCTTCATATCAATCCCTTCGCTTCATATTTTACTTAGCAAATC